AAGGGCTTGCATTCTAAGAGTCTTTTGTCTTCATACTGGTATAAGGAAAAAAAATAAGGAGAAAGCCTTGGAGAAGCCTGACCTCTAAAGAATGTTTGTGTGGGGAATTACCAGGGTATGAAAAGCCATAAACTGTTTCTCTCCCTTTTATTTATTTGTATGTATTTTCAACAAGCCATAGTCTAGTGAGTAAAAATTTGGCACTTTTATACCAGACCAAATTCTAATCTCTTGAACATAGAATTCATCAGATATATCGCAGTTCAACCTGAAATAAATGTATTTAATAAAAACTGTCTACTCTATTTAGGCTTCCTTTACCACAAGATATTTTTTCAGAATAGAAAATTAAAAGTTGGCATTGTAAATCCTAGTACAGTCTAATGTATATCCTAGTTTGATTTTGATTTGTTCTTGTTTTTAATATTTTCTGCCTTTTTTTTCTTTCCAAAGGTTTTTTGTTTTTTTTTGTCAAGTGTTTGTAAACATATTCTTAAAAAATAAATCAATTTATTGGGGGCTATTACAGCTCTTATAAAAATCCATGCATCAATTGTATCAAGCTCATTGTACATATGTTACTGTCATCATTTTCAAAATATTTTCCTTCAGTTTGAACTTTTGGTATCAGCTCCTCTTTTTTTCCCTCCCTTCTGTCCTAGTTTTAAAAAATAACATGTATAGTTTTCTAATTATAAAAGTTCTTTATCTGTAAATGATGCTAACATTTCAATAAAACTTTCTGCAATACAGTATAATCCCTTGATACTTATTAAATAAATATTAGCATTTGTAACAGTGATTTACAGGAATTATAAATTCCTGTGTTTCGTATTTTGCTTTAGAGTTGCAATATAAAAGTGGGAAGAAGAAGAGAGTGTCAAATGACAAGAATCTGATAATGTTCTTCCTTCAAAGTCTCCCTCTGTTGAATCAGGACTTTTTCCTCATAGGGCCGGTTGATCAGTGGTGCTTGGATCTAGTCTAGATCTTTGCCTCTTTGTTCACTGATACATCCCAACGTGCCTGGAGCCAGGCTTCACATATCGTTCAAACCCAAATTCACTGCCACCAAGTCGATGCCTACTCAGAGTGACCTGTAGGACAGGCTTAGCCGCCCCTAGGAGTTTCTGAGACTAGGAGAGTATACTCAGAGCAGCTCTTTGTTACAAATTGCTGACCTTACTGTGAGCAGCCCCTCTTGTAACCACCACACTCCCAGGTCTCCTTGGCTTAGAATAGGCCTCAAAGATTGACTGAAAGTGAAAATGAAGACACCTTTGTTTATATAGGAGGATCCCGGATGTCACTGTGGCTTAAGCATTGGTTTGCTAACTGCAGGGTCCCCAATTGAAACTCACTGGCCTCTCTTTGGGAGAAAAATGAGGCTGGCTGCCCCTTAGCTCCTCCCCACAAAGATGTACAGTCTTGCAAACCTTTATAAGGTCACTGTGAGTTAGAATCATCTTGATGGTGTTGGGTATGGTTAGTGTTAGGATTTGACCATCTTTAGTAGGTAGCTTGCTTTTTTTCCTTACTCCACCAGTATCTTGAAAGGTAATGCCTTTCAGCGTTTCTCTCTGTATGGTAATGCACTATTTACAGTTAGGACTGTGCTTCTGATGTTACGAAGCTCTGGCAGCACAGTTGTTAAGCTCCCCTGTTAACCAAAATGGTTCAAACCCACCTGCTGCTTTGTGGGTGAAAGATGTGGTGTAAGGGAGGGTCATTATGAGTTGGAATGGGTTTGGTTTTTTGTGGTTGGTGTTTGTTTTGGTTTGTGATAAGAGACCGATAAGACTAAGAAAACAATTTAGTCTAGAGTAAGGCAACTTGGTAGAGACAAGAGAATAAATAAGATGTCACCTAGAGCTGAGGCTGGGACAGAAAGTGACTGCAAGTAGGGAGGAGTCCTCTTGGGTGGTGAAAATAATTCTAAAGTGAATCGTAGTAATCATTGTATAACTCTTTTGTTTAAAAATCAGAAGACCAAGATAAGGCTTTTAAAAATTATAATTTCTTCGCTAATTGGAAAGACAGGATAATTATTTTCTATATTTCTTAGTTGGAAATGAATTGTTACTAAAATGAACAGTTAATTTACCTAAAACCAAGCTTTTTATAAAGTGTTTCAGGAGAGGAAAAATTTTTTACCTCTAATTAAATACATACTTTTGATATGTTGAGATTAATACGGTTCTTAACATAAAACATCTCATTTCAATTCCTTAACCTCTCATATCATATACTGTTTGGATTATTTTTAAAGCCATGAAAAGAATAGGTACAAATTAATCCACATTGCTGATAGTTTGTTTACACTCGGTTGCAGAGTTAGAACACAGTAAGAGTTTTTTTCCTGTTGCTTTGCTTCTCTAAGGATTAATTGAGCTTATCTAGATAGCTTTGTTTTCATTTACTTAAGCAAATTATTTATTGCCCTTCCCACCACCACCTGCCAAATGTACTATCCTTGGGTTTTTATTGTTGTTAGGATATTTTTTATGTTTAAAAATTGCATGTTAGAAGAAGAAACATTTTCGATAGAGCTGATATTCTTATGTAGACTTAAAAAATAATCTAAAAGATAATTTATGTGTCCTTTTAAAAATTTGACAGTGCATCTTGAGGATGTATGTGTAAATTGTCTCCCAGCCCAAGCCCGTAGATTCAAAGCGGACTCCTGTCTTGTCCTCGCCACAGCCCACCGCTGCCACCTTTTTCAACATGACAGATGCAGCTGTGTCCTTCACCAAGGACATTTTGTAACTGGAGTGGCCACGGACATCTCTAAAAGGCCGATCGAGCAGGTCAAGCTGCTGCTGCAGATGCAGCAGGCCAGGAAGCAGTCACCATAGATAAGCAGTACAAGGGCATTTTGGACTACGTGGCCCATAGTCTCAAGCAGCCAGGGAGTCCTGTCCGTTGGGCCTGGTAGCCTGGACAATGTCATCCGATAATTCCCTACCCAGACTCTCAGCTTTGCCTTCATAGATGACAAGCAGATTTTCCTGAGTGGTGTGAATGAGAGGACCCAGTTCTGGCACTACTTTTTGGGGACCTGGCATGAGGTGGTGCTGCCGAGACCACGTCTTTGCTTTTTGTGTACCCTCTTGATTTTTGCCCCTACTCATCTACCAGCTCCTGTGGGTCAAGCTGGAGTTCAGAGGCATCGGTGGCTGCCTGGCTAAGAGCTCCAAAGCTGATGGAATTATGGACCTATTCCTAGGTTTCTGAGTGCGGGGTGTTTTTGACACCACAAAGGAAATGCATCCAGATCCCATCTATGGCAGTGAATGACCTCATGGCTGGGTTGGCTTCCTACCTGTTTGGCACTCACGGTTCATTTCTGAGGGATGACGCAATCAGGGCCAAAGGAACTGATAGAACAAACACAGGCGCACTTGACTCCTGGAGGAAGGGTGCCTGTGATACGGAAGCACAAAGCGTTTTTCAAGGGTGCCTGGGCTCGTGTGCTCAAGAGGCCTGGGTGCATGTGCTTCTGTGCTGGTCTTGGATGAAATCGAGAAGTACACATAAGTTATTTCCTAGTTTGCTTCCCCTCCCCCATAACCAGCATGTTGTATTATGTAACATATCTCAGGCATTCTTGGCAGACAGCTGACTATCTGGATCAATGTCAACAAATCTCCTGGTTGAAGTGAGAAGCACTAATACTCATTTGACCAGTTACCTCATACAGCCATTTCCGCAGTGAGCGGATGATCATGGTGGTGATGGGACTCACTTGTGTTTTTTGATTCATGTCACCCTAATACAAAACTTGAAGAAGAAAAAAATACACGAAATGTAAAACAACGAAAACTCTACCACAAGTATAATAAAGGTAAAATAGCCTCCAGATCTAATTAAAATTACTGAGATCAATTAACTCTACTGAAAGCCTGACACCATCTAGATTTGGTGAGGACTTAAAGATGTAGCTGTTGGCATTCACAGCCACTTAGAATTTTAGACTTAACTCAGGTAGCTTGGTTTCTCATTACCTGTGTCATCATTTGAGAGCCCTGGTGGCGCAGTGGTGACCTGTTGGGCTGCAGTCTGCCAGGTGAGCAGTTTGAAACTACAAAGCTGCTCCTCCGAAGAAGAACGATGGCGCTTTCTACTCCTGTAAGCAGTTACCGTCTCATAAACTCAAAGGGAATGGTCTACCCTGTCCTGTAGTGTAGGGTGTCTCGGAAGCACTCGACTCGATGGAAGTGAATTTGGTTTGGTGTCATCATTGTGTGGTGTGAAACAATCAGGTGATGATGATGATGGTTACTATTAGAATTAGCACATGATACCGCACTTGATATATACCATTCATTATTATAAGGACGAATTAATTTCATTCTTGCACTCCAACTATTAACATATTCTTTTAATTAACAAAAGATCGCATGGAAGTTAAGTAACTTAGCTAGACTCATTTGAAAAGACAAAGCCCAAAGTCTGTCCACTACTACCTCAGTGTATTGCCATATAAATATATGCATGTATGTCAATGCCTCTATTTTTATGAATTAATGTATTTACATATGTACACTATGTTTATAGCTCTATCCTTTAGCTTTGCTTCCTAGACGTTTCCCCGTCTCCTTTCACCTTCTTCCTGCCCCGCCATCCCGCTTACTCTTCTGCCTCTTAGTAATTCCTCTCAGCTACATTGTTGTTGCTCCAACACCCCCAGGATCTCTATGTCTTCCTCGTTGTTGATTTTAATGCCCTAGTTGTTCCACTGTCTATCCACAGATTTTTTGAAACCCCTGATAAGTATCAGTAAAATGAAATATTTTATTAAGTTGCTCTCTCGAATTATGATTGTGGTTTTACAGTTTTAATTGACAAACAAGCAGAAAGGATTGTAAGCATAGACATAAGCTGATCGTGGATTAAGTCACTTCTGAGAGTATGGGTATGTTTTGGGGGAAAGTCGAAGGTCCTGTTTTTTTTCTTAAATCATTTATTTTCCTGCACTTTCACAAATTATTTTTTAGGATTTTGGCCCCCAACAGTACTCATCAAGATGTTGAGATGCTCTATAACTTTCTAATCAAGAATGAGGTAAGAGAAATATTTTTAAATGTCTGCTTCATTTTCAAGGTAATCAAGTTTTAATATAAACAGTAGGAGTTCTGAAATATAATAATAGAATGTTACTTAAATGAAGTTCCATAAAGTTTGCCAAACATAGTCCTGTTTTTGAGTTCTCTAAATAAAAGCATGCAGTAGTGCTGTGTTACAGTACAGTTTCACCAACATAGCATTTGTGCTCTCCTGAGCAGGAGACAGTCATTGACAGTCTTGACAATGGCATCTTGACAGTCATTTCTTCCTTGTGTGATCATTGCAGGATGTTTAAACATGCCTGGTCTTCAAGTACTAAGTTCCAGTAGTTTCCCTGCTCAGTGTGACAACTAAAAATATCCTACTACTCCACCCAGTCCTCAGGCCCAAATGACGCCTGGAGAGGAAGAACAACTTCTGCTTAAGAACCCTTGATTACTGGAAAGGAGAGCTGTAGTTCTCTTTAATCCAGAGCAGCAGCATGTATGTTGGAAATGAGTGGTTTCCTTTGGGTATAGCAGCAGATACACCCTGGAGTTAGAGTTGTAATGAGGCACCAGTGCATTTTAAAATTGGCCTGTATGCTTTCTTCATCACTGCAGACTAAGGAAAGTTTTCTATTGGTTTTTGGTTTCCATTTGCCTATGTGTTCTGTATGTTCCTACTTTGATTGTTTAATTTGAAAAGCTCTGAATGAACAAATGGGTTCCTATTTGTGGACAGTGCAAACAATTTGCCCACATCTAGCAACCTGAAATTTGGCGGTTCCAACCCACCCAGAGATGCCTTGGAAGAAAGACATGAGCAATCGGTTTTCACAAAGATTATAACCAGAAAGCCTGTGGAGCAGTTCTCCTCTGTAATACAGGGAGTTGCTATGAGCCTGAATCAATGGGTTTTGATTAAACGAAGGAGTTTGGTATATTTAGGTATACCATTTATTATGAAATCAGTGTTCTTTTTTTTAATCATTTTATTAGGGGCTCATGCAACCCTTAATCACAATCCATACATACATCAATTGTGTAAAGCACATTTGTACATTCATTGCCCTCATCATTCTCAAAACATTTGCTCTCCACTTAAGCCCCTGGCATCAGGTCCTCATTTGTTCCCCTCCCTCCCCGCTCCCCCTCCCTCATGTGAACCTTTGATAATTTATAAATTATTATTTTGTCATATCTCACCCTGTCCGACTCTAACCCACTCTTCTGTTGTCCGTTCCCCAGGGAGGAGGTCACATGTAGATCCTTGTAATTGGTTCCCTCTTTCCAACCCACTCTCCCTCTACCCTCCCAGTATCACCACTCATACCATTGGTCCTGAAGGGATCATCTGTCCTGGATTCCCTGTGTTTCCAGTTCCTATCTGTACCAGTGTAGATCCTCTGGTCTAGCCATATTTGTAAGGTAGAATTGGGATGATGATAGTGGGGAAGGAGGAAGCATTTAGGAACTAGAGGAAAGTTGTATGTTTCATTGCTCTGTTGCACCCTGACTGGCTCATCTCCTCCCCGAGACCCTTCTTTCTGTAAGGGGATGATGTCCAGTGGCCTACAAATGGGCTTTGGGTCTCCACTCTGGACTCCCCCCCCCACTTCACAATGATAGGATTTTTTGTTCTGATGATGCCTGATACCTTGTGATCACACAGGCTGGTGTGCTTCTTCCATGTGGGCTTTGTTGCTTTTGAGCTAGATGGCCGCTTGTTTGCCTTCAAGCCTTTTAAGACCCCAGATGCTATATCTTTTGAAAGCCAGGCACCATCAGCGTTCTTCGCCACATTTGCTTTTGCACCCATTTGTCTTCAGCGATCGTATCAGGGAAGTGAGCACCCAATGATTTTTTGTTCTTTGATCCCTTCGGCACCTTGTGATCACACAGGCTGGTGTGCTTGAAATCAGTGCTCTTTAAATACATTTTCTCTACTTTTTTGTTGTTTTGTTTTGTTTTTTGGCTTTTTTTTCTTTTTAAATCATTTTCTTGGGGGCTTATAAATCTCATCACAATCCATACATACATCAATTGTATAAAACACATTTGTACATTTGTTACCCTCATCATTCTCAAAATATTTGCTCTCCATGTAAGCCACTGCCATCAGCTCCTCATTTGCCCCCTCCCTTCCTGTTCCCCCCTCCTTCATGAAGCCTTGATAATTTATAAATTATTATTTTGTCGAATCTTACACTGTCTGACATCTCCCTTCACCCCCTTTTCTGTTGTCTCTACTTTTATTCCTGGTTAGCTCTTCATTAACTTTTATATATAAGAATTTTCCATTATGAAGGTAGTGATTATGTTTGATTTTAAGTCAAACTGCCTGTGTTCAAATATTGTTATGTTAACTCTATATGATTTAGAAAGACTTATTTAACATTCCTTGACTTTGGAAGAACCAAAAATAGATGAATCATGAAGACTGATTTGTAAACACTAAATGAATTAATGTATTTAAAGTACTCCAAATACTACCTGGCCTATAGTAAATGACCATAAAATATTACACATTCTTAAGCAAAAAATATTCTTAATATTCATAGTGAATTAATATAATTACCATTAACATAATTGTCCACAGTAGTATTCATATTAATTCACTATAATAGAATACTCTAAGCATATAATAGTGTTCCTGTGTGCCTTTAAAAAATAAACCTTGCCTTGCCACTTTATAACCATATTATATGATTAGTAAGATTTCCTTTTTGGGATGATTGGTATATTTATTTCATCATACTTTATGATTGAAACTGAACATTATATCTAATAATAATGTATTTCTGGAAACAATAGGACAATTTTAAAGTCACATCCTGGAAAATCTAGGACATGGGTCTATTTGGATTTAATGCTTCATGTTATTAAGCGATTTGGAAGAAACTACCAAAATTACCATTTATAACAATATGTGCATCCGTTTCTCAGGTGTTAAAAATCATTTCTTTTTGCAGAATTTTCCTTCTACACCATTTAGTAATTTGAGTTATTTGCCTCATGTCATGTAAGATCATCTGAGAACTTTAGCTACTTCTATACACAACCTTAATATTTTAGAAATTGTTGAATTTTTAAGAATGGAAAAATAGGCTAATAGAAACATTTTTGGTATTCAGTACTCATTGTAAATAGTAAAACTGTATAATCGCAACTCTGTTTTTTAGGTGCTAAAATTGTGCACTAAAGCATACAGATGACATTTGGTAGTAGGATATAAAATGTTGTATTAGGCTCACTAAGAGCACTGGCGGCACAGTTGATAAGTGCTTGATTGCTAACTGAAAGCTCAGAAGTTCAAGCCCAGCAGCCTCACCACAGGACAAAACTGTGGCAGCCTGCTCCCATAAAGTACAGCCGTGAGAACCGTAGGGGACAGTTGTACCAGGTCCTGTAGGATCACTGTGAGTCGGAATGGACTCAGTGGCAATGGCTTTCATGTGAAAAATTTGAAATGCCATAGTCAAAATTAATGAATATGATGAAACAACGTCTTTTGGTGTAGAGCCTATGATGTGTGCCATGAATTTGTACTGTACTTTCCCTTTATTAGTAATAAAGTAAGTAATCTATCTACTACTTCCTGGAGATAATCACGTTTCTATCCCAGTTTCTGAGATAAACAGAACCATGTATGTAGATGATTGCTTTAAAAGTAAGATAAACTAGATTATTTTTATATTTTCAAATTTATTACATGTATGCTCATGCCTTATACTTAAGAATTTATTAATTTGACGATGTTTTAAACTAGCTATGTTTAAGGAAATAAATTTGATAATTTTAATTTTTAAGATCTGATAACTTAATGAGCTATTTTATTTCCCTAGCATACTTAAACCGTTGATCGAGGACAAGTTGTCCCCATCCTTCTCTGACTTAACATCTGCCATGTGTTGACGTTTGATGTCCCTAGGGTGAAAACATCTTACGTCATGACCTAAGAGATGATAATGAAACTACCAAAGACCCTTTAAAATTATATTTGGAAGTATAACGTATAATTTAAAAACCTTCATATGGTGATATAGGACCCTGATGGTGCACAGTTAGGTGTGTAGCTGCTAATCAATAAGTTGCTGGGTTCAGTCCTAGCCATCGTTGTCGGTTTGTCATGAAAGAAGGTCGCTGCCACACAGTCGGCTTCAAAGCACACAGTAACAACTCTGCTAGCTCTACTTTTGGTTTAATATTGTTTTAAATAACTGTATTTTGTTCATTTCAGTTAAATCAAAGTGTCATATTTACTACCCAAGAACTTTATGACTGTGTTTCCCAGAATGAATATCGGTAAGTCCTACCTTATGTAACTATTGTAATAAATTCGACACTGGGTGGGTGTAGTAATTTTTAAATTTTGTTTGGTCATTTTGCTACACTGGTTTTTTTTTTTTTGTTTTTTTTGCATTTGTTAATATGAAGTGCTTCATATATACAAGAGAGGCGTGTGTGTGTGTGTGTGTGTGTGTGTGTGTATACAAGAGGATGAGTGTGAGCATGTATAAAATGTGAAGCAGTGGTTGGGGCTCATATTTTCTGCCTCAAGGACTCATGCTTTTAAAAAGTTATTGATGATTCCAAAGAGCTTTTATTTATGGGATTTTTACCTCCACCTATAATTACAATATTAGATAATGGAAGTGAAAAACTTTAGAAAATTTACTATAAAATAACTAATTCATGTCATGCTAAATAAATTCCATTTTTATGAAAATAAAACAAATTTTCTACTGAGAAAGAGAGGCGATGTAGGTTTTTGCAAATCACTTAATGAAGCAGCTGGATTCCATATCTGCTATATTAAAGTGAAGGACACACGATCCTAAAATTAATAATCATTTAAAAGTGGCATTTTGTGTGTTCATAGTGGTTTGGAACTACTACCTGTATGTGGATCCAGAACATTCTCATCACACTTATGGAAATCCTTTACCCGCCCCTCCCTTCAGCCTCTGGCAAACTCAAATCATTCCTTCTTAGGATTTATTCTGAATATTTCGTATAAATGGAATCATAGTGATAGATGATCTCGTGTCAGATTTCTTTCACTGACATAGTATTTGAAGTTTCATTTACATTGTAGCATGTATCAATACATTGTTATAACTGCATAATGGTCCATTGTGTGCATATACCACAATTCGTTTACCCATTCATCCACTGATGGACATTTAGGCTCTTTCCATCTGCTGTGAGCATGCACATACATGTACCAGTTCTTTTGTAAATACACCTGAGTGGAAGTGCCAGGTTGTTTGACAACACTGTGCTTAACTCTAAGGAGCCACGTATTGGGTTTCAGCAGCTACACCATTTGCCTGCCCACCGACAATGGGTGAAGGTTCTGGTTTCTTTCCATCCTTGCCAAAACACCCCCCACCCGCTTTTGTGTTGTTGTTTTAGCCTTCATGGTGGAGCTGAAGCGATAACTTGTCGTTTTGATACACATGTCTCAGTGATAGCTGCTTTTGCGTTTAGTCTCTTTCAATTAATCACATGTCATGTAGACTTTGGAGAACTACTGCACGCTCTTGAGAAAATGAGAGGAGTGCAAAAGGCAAATTATGTCTCAGTCTTATGAAAATAGCTTTGACCTCATGGACGCTCTGGAAGAGCCTGTGGTGCCTGGGCTCCAGGCTCTGCTCTCAACAACCGCTGGTGAAGAAAATAACCCTGTGCTCTTCATTCAGCAGTAAAAAGAGACCTTCCCGTCTCGTTGCATCCCTGCACCTCCCTGCCCTCTCTTTGGGGGTTTTGTGTTTCTAATTTTGTATTCTGTATGATTTTACTACATGTATCGGTAAAAAAATATACTGCGTAATTTATCCTGCTTTTTGAGCTTAATAGTACCACACTGTATTTATGCTTTGCTATTTTATTTTCTAACTTTATGATATATTAAGATAAATCACTTTTAGAAGAGGTCTTTTAAAAGGCCATAGAAAGGTTCCATTATCTTTTAATTCCATTTTCCCCACATGCTTTTTGAAGTCCCTCTCATATTATAACATGACATGCATTCCTTACTGTCATCAGTACATGATGCAAAATCTTGCCATTAGAAACCATGGGGTTTATGGGGAGAAATAGGGTTAGGACACAGCTTCAAAATTTCTTTGGCGAGATATTAAAATCAAAGATAGGAACCTGATAAACATAGTATCGCTGTTTGATAACTATTACATGGTTAAGAAATGCATAAATATTGTAATAGATATGGGGCTTTTTCCTTGGGCAAGGCCTGACATTTGCTTGTGGAAGTGGTCATGAAAGATAAAAAGAAATTGGGTGTATGTTTGTCGTGGAGGGGGATGGGTATGACTCATAACATGTGTGAACTCGTGTTAGGATCTAGTGCATGTTTGAAGTGCATGTATGTGTGTTGTGTGTCCCTAAGCATCTCAGTTCACCTGCGTGCAGTTTTCTCTGTTTACCCAGTATTTCTAGTGGGTTGTTACCCATAAATTAGTGTTGTGTTGAAATTGTACGTCAGTGGCTTTGAAACAAATGCTTGTGTTCATATCAGACAACTGGCTATATCTTTTCATTGCTGTACGTGTGCCCGTCTCACTAAACCTGAGTTTATCTTTTATCAAATGAGCATTCCGGTTCTTTCCAGTGTTTTGCTGTCACAAACAGTGATGTTAGCCATCTTTTCATATTTGTTGACCTTTCATGACTCTTCTTCCAAGTGTCTGTTCATATCTTTTTCTGCTTTCTTCTTCATGCTTTTTAAAAGAAGTTCGTTCTTTACATGTGAGAGGCAACAGAAAGCGTTTCTGTTATTTTTTACTTCTCTTTTTCCACGAGCTTTGCGAGCCCTTCATACTAGTACTTTGTCAGTGTTGCCTCTATTTCCCACAGTCTGTCCTTCGAGGAGCCTAAGTTTTTAATTTTAATGTAGTGTTACTGTAACTCCCGCTCCCACCCCGCAGTTTGCCAGCTTTGTGTGGTTTATAATTTCTTCCCTACCCAAATATTATAAAGGGATGTTGTGGACATACTTGTTTTATTTTAAAGTTTTCTTTTTTATATATGTGTGTAATCCATCTGCTTTTAAAATGTTTCTTGTATGGTAGGGATTTATTTTCTCCTGTTTCCGTACAGCTAACCAGTTGTTCCCGCAGCACAGGCTGACTTGACCTGTTCATCCTTCTGTTGTTCTGCAGTGCTCCTCTGTCATAAGCAGGGCTCTCACACACACGGGCCTGATTCTGGCTCTCCGTTAATTACTATGACCTAAAATTATGTTGATATTCAATAAAAGCATTCCCTACTGTGTTCTTTGCTAATGCCTGATTATTCCTGTCTGCATGTTCTTGCAATTTAAAGTTTTGAATTAGTATGTTGTGTTCCACTAAAAAAAAGTTCAGATGTTTATTAAGTTGCATTGAATCTTAGGTCAGCTTGAGGGTAAATTTTGCACTTATAAATATTTCTATCCATACATATGTTGTGTATTCCTCAGCTTCTATAAACTTTTCATAGATAAAAAAAACTGGAAAAGCAAACTCCATTCATTCTTGCTTGCAATGACCCTCCAAGATTGATTGGAGCTTCTCCAGAGGGTTTCCAAGGCTGGAATCTATCCTACCCATACCATCGCATCTTTCCCCAGGGAGCAGCTGGGTACTTACTACAGTGCCACTGGGGTCCCTGGTGTTCTAGAGAATGTTTTACATTACCATTGCTGCTAGTTAATTATTCTAAGTTCTATCTGCCACCATGTTGAAAGAGTCGTGTTAATATATAAAGGTTAACTTTTATGTGCTTAAAGCTATCTAGCAACTCTGCTTAACACTTCTAGTTTGTCTGTAGGTTCTTTTTCTATGTAAATAATCATCTATGAGTGATAGTTTTCTTTCTTTCCAATATTTGCAGCTCATATATCTTGTTTTCATCTTATTACCTGTAACCTCTAATTTGGTACTGAAGATAGTGTAGTGATCAATGACATCCTAGACTTACTTGATTTTATAAGAAGTGCTTCCACAATTCTACAGTACACATGATCATTGCTGAAAATTTTTGTTTTTTCAAAAATAAGGAAAGTTTTTTTTCTTCTAAATTACCTTAATTTTCTTACCATGTTGAGTCTTATCAAAATGCTTTTTCTGTGTTTGTTGATAATGCCATATTTTTAATTCACTACTTTAATTTGATAAAGATCATTAAGAAATGTTGTAATGTGAAGTCAATTTTTCAATTGCTAGGGTAAACGTAACTTTTAATTCAGATGTTTCTGGATTTAGGTTTGTTAAAATTTTAAGAGTCCCTGGGTGGCACAGAAAGCTAAGCACTTGACTGGTAACTGAAAGGTTGGCGATTTGAATTCACCCTGAGGCACCTTGGGAGACAGGTCTAGAGTTCTGCTTGTGAGCAAGATCAAGGCGTTGGCAACGTTGGCAACCCTGGCGGGCAATACTTCTCAGCACACGTGGGAGCACCATGAGTTGGAATCCACTTGACGACAGCTAACAACAATAATATAGTATTTAATATTTTTGCATTTATGGCCATGGATGAGATGACGTTATTTTTCTTTTACTCCTTTTCTGGGGTCTGAATAGGTTATTTAGCCTCATCAAGTGATTTTTTTCCCCCTATCCTCCAAAGTAGCTTTTAAGAAACTTTTACTTTTCAATATTTGAAAGTTCGATAGATTGTTTCTATAAAGTACTGTGAGTCTAATGTGCTTGTGGGGGGATTTTCAACACTGACTCCCATTTCTGTAGCTGCTGGAGGGTACTTGTGGGTTTTCCTTTTTGAATCAATTTCAGTAAGTTTTCAAAAATTATTAGCACAAAGGTGTTCATAATATTTTCTTACTATATTTAAAATTTTTGTAGCTTTGCTCCTTTTCACTCTTAACACATTTATTTAGGTCCTCTTTATTTTCTCTTGATTAGTCTCACCAGAGGCTTGTCTGTTTATTACTTAATTGAAAGAACCAGCTTTTTATGTTGTTCATCACCTTTTATCTTAGTGTTCTCTTTCAGTATTTTTTATTGTTAATTTTATTATTTCCAGTATCAGGGCTTCCGGTGTTCTCCCGTCTTTGAAGTAGCTGCTGGTCTCATCCTTTTCTATTTTAAATAGATAAGCGTTTATTTAGCTGTACACTATAGTAAAACATTTTTATCATTCAGTTCTCAGTAGAATCTTATTTATATTTTTATTTCTTTAATACACGATTATTTACATTTTCTAAATATGTATGAGTTTTTTGTTTCTCTTTCATGTTCTTTTTAAACATAATTGAACTTGCTTTGAGTTATGTATTTATGTAT